ACAATTACACGTTTGTACATCAATTCACGAACTGATTTAAAATTTGGATAACCCCATATAGGGTTCGGCATACGTAGCAACGTAGCACAACGTTTTAATGTGGCGAAGACGGAACTGTAAAACTTTACGCACTTTTTGTGCAACCTTGTTGATACCGCGGATACGGATCACAAAAGCCAATTTGTATTTTTTAGGCCCGTAGAATTGGCCGCATTTCTTTGCCACACAGCGCAACTCTATCTCACGGCGTCCTTCACGGAGTTTTCTTGTTTGATATTTCTCAGCATGCACCAAGTTTTCACGTTTACGGAGTGCAATCACAGCAGAGCGCTTTAGTTTACGTTTGATCAGGGTAGCAATTTGCTGACCTGCTCTTGCTGAACTGCAGCTTCGACTTGGGGACAGGAGGCAGCTTCCTGGAAGGTTGTCTGCCCTTTGCCTGCGGTTTCTTACCGGCCGTGATGGCAGTCATCTTAACTTGTTACTTAGCATCGTAAATGAGCCACTCGATTTATAACATTTCTATAAACAATTTAATTAAATACTTTTTAATACATAGATATGCTGCAACCAGGCACTTACTTTTCCAAATTCCATCCTGCTTATCGGCATAATTTTCAAAATATGCCTGCTTCTTCATTACTAATTACTCCATTTTCCAACTGCGTCTTCTTTGTTGGCTCAACATATCCTAAAAAGACATAAATTTACATTAAACAATAGAAATCGCGAAAATTAGCAAATGAAATACCCGCTTTGTTTTGTTTTTTTGTCAAATTTCTGAGAAATGTGAATTTACCACGATGCGATACAGAAAGAACAAGGACCACGACAGTCGGGTCTACGTAACCGGAACGACCAAGATTTATATCTGGCCAAGGACTGACCTGCCGACTTTGCTTCCGTGGATCACCGGACCTATATCAACTTTTCCAAAGCTGACTGGAAAGGCTTCACGGATGTTACTGAGGGCGCCTTCGCTGCACTATCCATACCAACCGACGTTCACGTAGGTGAGCGTAAGTTCCGCATGGTTGTCACCGCTGCTGCAGCTCGCTTCATTCCAGCAGGATGTATTAAGGATCCACGACCGAATTTTCCTGCCGAAGCGGCTGTTCTAGCTGATGAGCGCGACAACCTTCGTCAGGCCGATCCCGGAAATCCCCGTATTAGGGATCTCAATTCGGAGATTCGGCAACTTGTGTACGTACATAAACGGAAGAAATGGGAAGAGCATCTGAAGACCTGCAACTTCGCCTCTAGTGTGAGCAAGCTTTGGTCAATCATGAGGGCGTTGTCCAACCCGACGAAGCGCGACGACAGAGTCGAGATAGACTTTGGTGACTACGCTTCGTCGGGCCCGGAGAGATGCGCGAGCTATTTTAGCCGGCAGTTCATTCTGCATCCTCCGGTGGATAAAGCCAAACGTCGAGTGACCAGAAGGTTGCACAAAATGCCAAAACTTAGTGCGCCTCTTGTTTTCACCAGCGGTGAGGTAAGGGTAGCCATCGGGAAGGCGAAAGCCTCCAAAGCCATTGGACCCGACGGAATATGCATGTTGATGCTGAAAAATTTGGGTCCTGCGGGAGTAGCGTACCTAACGGAGGTCCTCAACCTGTCTATGGCCACTCTCGTCATTCCAGACATCTGGAAAATGGGGAGAGCGGTCCCACTGCTAAAACCGGGGAAACCAGCCAATAAAGGAGAGTCTTATCGCCCGATAACTCTCCTTTCCCCGGTAGCGAAGACACTCGAGGCCCTGCTGCTCCCGTACTTCACGAACCACCTGACCCCAGCGAAGCATCAACATGGGTTCCGTAAAGTGCATAGTACAACAACAGCACTTAACGCCATAAA